TAGCTCTATATTATATGACATGGAAATATCTCCAAAATATATTATTATTTTTTAAAAAAAATAGATGCAAATGGCTATGCATATAATGATGATCCCAGCCGTGATAAAAAAAAAGAAAAAATATAATGCGTACATGTAAACCTGAGGTTTGCATTTTTTCTGCAAGTATACCTAAGAAATTTTTTTTGTACCAGGGATTGAACCCAAGGACACTTATGCACTGAGCCACATAATCAGAACTTTTAATTTTTTCCTTTTGAGACAGTGTCTCAATAAGTCACTGAGGCTGACCTTGAATTTGTGATCCTCCTTCCTCAGCTTCCCAAGTCATACCTGGCTACCTAAAAAATTCTTAATTTTTTTCTGTGGTGAGATAGATACCTGCGGTGGGAGATTAAAGTGAAAAGAGACTTTTAGTTTGGATTTATATCTTTGTGTAATTTTAGTTTTTTAACTGTATGTGTTAATTTTACTTTAAGAGACTAATTTTAATGAATAGTTGAATTAGTGGAATAACTAGTGAAAATTATAAGTCAATTTAAATTGTAAAAGCTTATGTACTTTTTCTGAGAAATTCTACTTTTAGGAATTTGGCCTATGAAATTGCAAGCCCAAGTATAACAAGATGTATGTATGTATGAGGAACTTACTGTAGCATTATTTGTAACTGCAAAAAAAACTAAAACAATTTCAATATGCATTAATGGAAGGTTAAGTGGATTATGTTACATCTACACAATGAAATATAAATAGCCCTAAAATAGATTTAAATGTACTTGTATGTCCATGATAAGATCATTAAAATAAATAAAGTTTTTAAATAATATGTATGTATGTTTGATCTTTGTTTTTAAACTACATGCATTCATGCATATACATGTGCCCATACACACTCACTTTATAAACCCATAAGAAAAATAGACATTTCTATGTAGAAGATGAAGAGTAGGTTTTACTTTATACTTCATATATTTCATATTGTTTAAATCTATTTTATTCACAACCATATATATTGTATTTATAATTTTTTAAAATAAGGAAAAGAAGCTACAAATATCCCCCAACATAAATTTCTAATGAATGGCACCTTTACTGTAATTATTTATCACTATGATGTTTAAATATTCCTCAAACGTCTCCAACTATAGTGGATACTTATTTAATAAACCCAGGTAGGGTTGATGTTTTCCAGCAATTTTCCCTAAAAGCCTTGTTTTCATGAATATATAAATACATATAATTTATGTGTAAATACATTTATGGAGAATTGTAACCTAGCAATCTGCTCATTAAAATTTATTTTTAAAGGTCATAATCCTTCTATGGACCATAAATACCAATTTGTTAGGCAAAGTTAAACCCAGACATTACTCATATTTATTCATACATTGCCACCCTTTCTCTACACGTGATATAGCCAAGACAAAAGTAAAAGAAATTCTGTGGTGTTATAGTTCCTTAAGTGGTGAGGCCAACAATAACTCCAGCTAATAATTTAATCCCCCCAGGTGGGTTATCAGTGCCAGAAATTTCTATCAATGGAAGCTTTTAAGCCAGTGGTTCACCACCTTTTGGGGGGCCATAGAATCCCTTGAGAGAGTCCTACATGATATAGGGGTGAAGAGAACATGGACTTTGCAACTAGACACATCTTTGTTTAAATGCCAACTCCACTGTTTATTTCATTGGTGACCTTAGGCAATACACTTAACCTCTCTGAGCCTCTCTCTTCATCTATAAAATGCCTGGCACATAATAAGAACTTAGTCAAAGGCAGCAATTATATTGTTAGGATGAGATAAAAAATGTTGACTCTCCCTGAAAAAAGATCCACCTTGCATTTTTAGGATATTGCATATGATTTCAAGGGCTTTGCCAACTCCTTCAACCAATTCTGGTCCTCAGGTTAGGAACTCTTGTTTAAAGATATGGAATCAACACTTGAAACCTGAAAAGTAGAGAGAATATTTTCTACCCTTTTTTCTTACTTGTCATTTTAGGTAGTGTTTTCTTGTGTTGGATTATTTGTGTGTTATGCACATAAAGACTCAACCCAACCAATAGAGTGGATTGCAAAATAAAAAAAGTGTACAAAAGAGCAAAAAAATAAATAAGAGCTGTATAGCACTTTAACCCATTAATTAGATTTAGTTATTTACCAGACAAATATTAAAGGCTATGGCCATTAGGTGACCAGATTCAGTTTTTATATACCACTATAAAGCATGTGAGTTTGCTAGGGCCATATTTTTGTTTCCTTAGATCAAACATAAAATTATTTTAAACTGCTTTACATGAGCTGATCAGAGTTAACCTACTAGTTCCTAGCTCAGTTTTATGATCAGAGCCAGCTAGATCTGTTCTCCTTTATTTTCAAGAGTTCAGAAAAGAGAAAAAACAGTGCCTTCAGTTAGCAGCACAAAGGAATAGCTTTTGTTCTTTCTTTGCATCGGTCTGATCTCAAAGAAATAGAAATCCCCTGCAATGTGCCTCTACCATTAACTCAAACAACATATGGACTGTTGATGAAAGTATATCCCAACAGTCTACGAGAGCCCTCTTAGGCTTGGATCTAGCCCCTATTCCCTCCCTAATTGTTCTCCTCCCAAATTCATAAGTAAACAATACCCCAAGAATAAGTGAACATTTCAGGAAATGAGAAAAATTCTATTTTGATGCTATTATCACTGACTGTGACCCATGCTTCAGGACTGTTGTTGATGATGGTGGAGAAGATTGGCAATGAGAAGAGTGGGATTTTACAGAGAAAAACAATCCTGTATTTCCTTCTCAAAAGCAGAGAGGAGAAACATGCATGCATAATTCCAAGAAGAGAGGATTTTTTACAAGAACCCTATCCAAATAGTTCTTCAATATCATCATTACATTCACAAGAAAAGTGAATTGGTTTATGAATACCATTCCCAGCTAAAAGAACCAGCACTCCTTGGCAAAACATCTGATTCTTGGGCTGAAGAGAAAAAATACAAGATTATCCTAGAGTATCTTGTGCCAAAAAATAAGAAAATGCTCAAAGAATGATGGGGTATGTCAAAGGGACACAAGAGCGAGATTGGAGAGCCCCCACTTGCTAAATTTGGGCCAATTTGAGTATCAAAATAAACAATAGTAACAGATTTTAATCCAATGAATAAAATGAGAATCCATGAGTTCATGCTCATATAAATAAACACATAAATGAATGAATGGACAGGTAAATGTGGAAGAAGAGAAAACTATTCCTTTAGAATGTCCACTAATAAGTGTAGAAAAAGAATGGAGTTTGCCACCACTGAAGTAACTGGTGATTCAGACAAGAATCATCAATAGATATAAAACTACTGGATAAAAGTTTGATAAGAATAGGGTATTTATGTAGCCCCCAAACTTCTCCCCCAGAAATTGCTTAATAATTACAAAGAAAAAAACACATTTACTATGGAAAAATTTGCCAGAGATCATAATCAAGTGATCAAAGTTATCATCTCAAATAATGGGACAAATTGGCACCATGTGTCTACTGATGTAATAATGCACTGAGAAGAACAACATCATTTCTGTGGTATTCTTGCCAAAATACAAAGCATAAAGTTAACCATGAGGAAATATTAGACAAACCCAAATTAAGGGAAATTACACAAAATAACTGGACCGTATGCTAGAAATGTCTAAGTCATGAAAGACAAGTAAGTGTGTCAGTCAGCTTTTCATTGCTGTGACTAAAACATGTGACAAGAACAACTAAGAGGAGAAGTTTCTTTTGACTCACTGACTCGGAGGTTCACTTCAAGGTGGGCTAAATCCATTGCACTCCAACTAACGTGAGAGCACATCATGGCAGAAGGGCATGGGGAAGGAAGGGAAGCTGCTCTCCTCATAGCAACCAGATAACAGAGGAGGGGGAAGGGGTCACAGAGAAAATGAACCCTTCCAGGTCATGCCCCCAGTGACCCACCTCCTCCAGCCATTCTCCACCTACCTACAGTTAATACCCAGTTGTTTCATTCAAATTAGAATGGACTGATTAAGTGACAGTTCTCATGATCCAATCATTTCATCCATCCCTGCATTAACACAAGAATTTTGGGGGGACCGTTCATATACAAACCATAACAACAAGGAAAGACTGAGGATCTCTTCCAGATTGAAGTCTAAAGAGACATTCTAACTAAATACAATGAATGTATGCTCCTGAATTGGATCCTAGATCAATCAAAAACAGCTATAAAGAAAGTTATTAAAATAATTCACTAAATTTGAATATAAACTATGAATTAGATATAAGTATTGTATCAATATTAAATTTCTAATTTTGAATATACAGTGTGCTTAAGTAAGATAATTCCTTATTCTTAGGGAAAATGCATGGAGGTATTTAGTGATAAAAGGGAATCATGCCTGCAACTTACTCTCAAATGATTCACAAATAAATTAGATGTGTGTGTGTGTGTGTGTGTGTGTGTGTTTTATGTGTGTAGGAGGAGGGGAAGAGGAAGAGAAGAGAAATGAGAAAGATTAAAATACAGAGGATGGGCCAGGCACAGTGGTGCACACCTGTAATGCCAGCAACTCAGGTAGTTGAGTCAGGAAGATTGAGGCCAGCCTGGGAAAATTAGTGAGATCCTGTTTCAAAATTTAAAAAAATGAAAAAGGACTGTTAGTGTAGCTGAGTAGTAAAGTGTCTCTGGGTTCAATTCCTAGTACCAAGAAATAAAGAAATAAAAAATAAAAAGATATGGAGGATGATAAAGTATATAAGGAAGTGTTAACCATCGATGAACCTAAGAGTATGAAATATGTTGTTATTCTTACAATATTTGTGTAAATTCGAAATTATATCAAAATAAAAGGTAAATGAAAACAATATTTTCTGTATATTAAAAGTAAATGAAAACTTGTGGCAATCTCAGGCTCTTGCCAGAACACTGATGGAAGAGCGGATTCATTGGCGTGGCATTTATGCTAACCTTGCTAAGGAGAAAAATGAATTAGTTACTCACAGCAGCGCAGTGTCCTGTCAACAGTTGGGATGATCTTGTTGAGAAGCCAAACATCTTCTTCCCAACTAATGATATTTCCATCTAAACACTTCATAAACTCTTCAGTTTCCAAGATGCGATCCCAGAGTTGAAAGTAGTATAAGCTGCCAGTAAAGTGAGGTGCCACTTTTTTCACCTGGCCATCTTCATTCTTGGGCAAGTGCCCTAAGACCAGCGTCCCATTAGGTGTCAGGCTGCGTGGCTCATCCATTATTATCACTAACCTTTTTTGATTCAGGAAAATCTCTAATCTGCCCTTCACCCCATCCCATATCAAGCATATTGTATACCATTTAAATGGAATCAGTCGGTAACTGATATAAAAGGTCTTGCCCAAGTTGTGTAGTATTAGATGCCGATGGTCCCCTGCAAGTCCAAAGTCTAAGTCTTCTCTGCCCAGCACAGTGTTTTTAATAATATAGGAGAAGGCCTTCCAATAACCTGGCTTGCCATTTTTGGCTACCATATCAATACATGTTGTGAATTGGCTCAGTTCAGGAATGGTCTTGGCCAGGCTTACATATGTGTCACTTTTTCCATAAAAATCCAGCTTTTTTCCTTTTAGTGAAAGTGTATCTATCCAGATTTGGAGAAGGGAGAAAGAGAAAACAAATCAAATTTCAGTTAAATTTTTTATCATCTTTGGCAGTATGCTCAAATTGCACAATATAATTATGAATCAATCCTGATACAAATAATCAAATTGTAGATATAACAAAAATCATCTCTTTTTGACATTGGCATGTGATGTTTTTGGCAGAAGCATTTCTTCCTAATTATACTTTGCCTGGGCTAATATAAAAAGTTAGATTAGTGTTCCCAGAGCCCACACCAGCTGGACAATTTGGAGGGGCCATTAGAAATGTGTGGCTAGCCTACACTTCAGATTTTCTACATATAATTCTCATGCATATATATAATCAAAAGAGAATTGTTTCGACCCACCTAACCACCTTATTCATGATTCCACAGAGATTTGTTTCTTCAATACCTATTCCTGAGCCAAAAGACCTGTTTTATTCTGTCTCCAGAGACTTCTTCTCACTGAAAAAGCACTGGCAAAGGCTTGAAGGATGACCAGCTGGACAATATTGAAATTTGGGGGTTTCTGCTTGGACTAAGGAATGGAAGAGATGGCATTGCCCTGAATGCATCTGGATGCCCTCCTTCCCTCTCCCCGCTGAGAGAGCTTAAGGCACTCTAGACAGCCATGGACCCAGTTATCATTGGTTATGAAGTCAGAGAGCCTGGAGTGGAATCCCAGCTCCAACTGACACACATCAGTTTAAACTTGAGCAAGTAAGTGAACCTCCCTGGGCCTAAATGTTTGTTTCAGTTAAATGAGGATTTAGGACCATAGTGCTTTATGTTTGCCCAACAAAAGGGGCCACAGTTCACATTGGAATCTAGGCCAGGTGGTCCCTGTCTACTGACAGGATTATTTGAAGATTGAGATAATGTACACAAAGCCTTCTCAAGTGTACATTTCCTTTGGTACAGTGTTTTGGCAGGCAGCTTGAAAATTTAAATCAGGTATTTCTCCTGTCTCATAGGAAGCTATTAAATTGTGATATTATCACCACTACAAGTGTCACAGCCCTAGGCCACTGGGCAAATATCCAAGGTTTGCCTAATGTCAACCTACTTCCATGCCCAGGACAGACCAAGCCAAACCAAAAAAAGCTTTGTGGCAGAATAAAATTGTTAACTTCTCTCTGAATTAGAGTCATAATATTGGGACCACTACTTCAAAACAGTGACAGCCATAGCAGCACACTATAGAGGCTGGAAGGAAGTGACAACTGCCCTGCTTCTTGGAGATGCCTCCAAATGAGAGCCTTCAGATATTCTCCACCCATTCAAAATTCTCTCCCTCCATTCCTTTACTGAATAGCCTCCAAAAGCAAACAAGCACATGTATATGCTTGCCCACACACACATTCATGCACACACTCAACCTGCACATGCATGTGCACGCGCACACACACACACACACACACCATACCCATGTGCAGGAATTCATATTATCCACCCGCCAGTTATTGTTCAATTATCTATGATAGATGAGAAAATGCTTATTTCTATTCTTGGTATATGGTATTATCTTATCATCTTTCATGTAGCTAATAAATCAAGAGTTAATCCCACAAGACAGTAACACCATGATATCTAACTCTTGATTATTGTTGGTTAACATTGCTTTTCTGCTCAGCCCTCCAAATGACGTCAAATAAAACATTTAAGAACTGGTTTTATGGTGAATATAAATCTTCATGGCTTACTTGTTGCTTAAGAAAAGAATGTATCATAGTCTCACATGGTCTACAAGGGCCTCTCCTCTCTGCAATATACTAATATAAAACCAGTTGCCAAGGGAGAAGAATGAGCAATTTACAAAATCAAAAATATAAAGGCCAACAATAAAAAAAGATGCCACCTCACCATTTTTAAGCACAAATTAAAACAGTAATAACATACCATTTTGCCTACTAGATTGATAAAATCATAGAAGATTATGATACCCAGCATTGGCAAACATTTGGGGAAATGACTAATTCTTATATGGTGCTGGTGGGAGTACCAGTTGAGTAGGGTTTTTGAAGGACAATTTGCCAGTTTCTATGACAATTTTAATTGTGTATATATACTTTTATTTTTTTGGTACCAGGGACTCAACCAGGAGTGTTTAAACACTGAGCCACATTTCCAGTCCTTTTATATTTTATTTTGAGACAGGTTCTCATGAGGTTGCTTACAGTCTCACTAAATTTCTGAGGCTGGCTTCAAACCTGTGATCCTCCCTCCCAAGTTGCTGGGATTATAGGTGTGCACCACCACGCCCAGTAAATTGTGTGTATACTTTTGGCCCAGAAACTCAATTTCCATCAATTTATTCTAAAAAAAATATACATATATACAAAGATGTGAGTACAAGGATATTTACTGCAGCTTTGTTTCTAATCATAAAAAAAAACGTGTCTATTCATAAGTGGATAGTTAGGAAAATTGCTACTTCTGAGCAATGAAGTACTAAAGCATATAAAGTAGACATATATAGTCATGGAGAAATTTTCAACTCTTAAAATTATGTGAAAGGGGAGTTACTTAAGTGTAAGTATAGTATTATTTATTAAAAATAAAAGAAAAATATATGTGTTAGTATACACATAAAAAAAAGTCTGAAAGAGCGTATCAAACAGTTAAGAATGATTATCTTTAAATAGGAGATTTAGGGGGATTTTGATTTTCTGTATTATTTATTTAAGTAATTACTGCATTTTAAATGATCATATTTTGCATTTATAATCAGAAAAATATAGATAGACTGATGGTTGGATGAATAGTGAAAGAAAGAAAGAAAGAAAAGAGAAGAGAAGAGAGGAGGGAGGGAGGGAGGGAGGGAGGGAGAAATGAAGAAAAGATTAGTTTGGCCTTACTTGAGCTTCTGCAGACAGAGATAAATTCTTCTTAGACATCAGCAGAAGAGTGGTGTCACAAGTCTTAAAAGCTGGATGCGTGCCCCAGTTGTGTCTCTCACTAGCTATGTGGACATGGACAATTAGTGCATGTAAAGCTCTCAGGACAGTGTTTGGAAGATAGTGAGCCCCATATAAATGTTAAATAAATAAACTCATGTCACGTCTGTGTACAATGGGAATAATAATTGCCTTCCTCACAAGGCCATTATAAAAGATGATACAATAACAACTAACGTTGAGGTGATCTGTGTGACAATGTTTATAAACTATGAAGTACCATGTAAATGTCAGTTGCAGTGTTTACCAGCGTCATTAGCAGAAACCTCTTTCTTCTCCCACAACCTTGTTCTCTCCCTCACACATGCAAGCACATCTGTGCTGAGCCTTCCTGCAGCCTCCAGGCCTCTAGCAGGACCCAGAGGAGGAGGGGCTGTGATGAGGAGGAGAGGGGTTTGGCCCTTGTTTGGCCAGGCAAACAGCCTTCACCATGGGTCTCTCAAGGGCCTGCTTGAAAGGCCACTTGTGTCTTTGCATATGATTTTGCTATCCATTGCAGATGTCTGCTCGGATGCTGCCATCTGTTCCCTGGCAATTTTGAAGTCCAAATTGCATGATTACCCACCCACCCCCTGACACACAAGTGTATTCTCTCTTGAATTTGACTTTCCTGCATCTCTTCACCTCTGTCTGCTCTTTCCTTTTATTTTAAATCCCATTTATTGCTTTCTCTAGTTTATTTTTAAAAAATAGGAGGTGTTTTGTTGCATTATAAAAGTAATACTGTACATTTTTTATTTTTATTTTTTTTTACTGTACATTTTTTAAAGAAAAAATGGAAAGTATTAGAAAGTAAAAGGACGAGAATGAAGTCAGCCAGAGAGTTCTGACACCAAGAGACAATCAGCAACAATATGTTGATGTATTTCCTTTGACTTCTTTGACTGTGTGTCGGGGGAGGGGGGCTTTGTTTGTGTTCGTGTGTTTATGGCTGAGATCATATTGTATGGAAAATTTTGTCCCTTGCTTACTTAACATTATAACATAAGTGCATTCCATGTTAGGAAAAACTCATCAAAAGCCTTATTAAAATGCATATGTTACAGCCCCGGGAGCATGAACCACCATCTTATTTGTACTGAGAAAATTCACATAATATGAAGTTCACTATTTATACCATTTTAAAGTGTACAATTCAGTGGCATTTAGCATATACACAATGATATACAAACAGTATCTTTATCTAATTCCAGAACATTTTTATCACTCCAAACATTAAACAGTCTCATTAAACAATCATTCTGTGTTTGTACTCTGCCCTATCCCCCATAAATGGCAATCACTATTATGTTTTCTATCTCTGTAATTTTTCCTACTCTGGACATGTCATATAAATGAAACCTTGCAATATGTGGCCTTTTGTGCCTGACTTTTTACATTTAGTATAATGTTCATCCATGTTGAAGCATGTATCAGTACCTCATTACTTTCCATAGCTGAATATTATTCCATCATATGCATATTACATTTCATTTGTTGATTCATCTAATAATGGATATTTGGGTTGTTTTTGCTTTTAGCTACAATGAACAATCTTCTATGATTTTTGCCATTGATTTTGTTTTAACAACATGTTTTCATTTCTTTTGGACTTGTACTAAGAGTGGAATTGCTATAGGTCAAATAATTGTATGTTTAATTTATAATAATAGCCAGGTATGGTAGGGCAAGCCTGTAGTTCCAGTGGCTTGAGAGGATGAGGCAGGAAGATCATGAGTTCAAAGCCAGCCGCAGCAACTTAGCGAGGCACTAAGCAACTCAGTGAGACCCTGTCTCTAAATAAAGTATTAAAAAGGGCTGGGGATGTGGCTCAGTGATTAAGTGTCCCTTGATTCAATACCTGGTACCTAAAAGCAATTTATAATAATAATACCCAAACTATTTCCCCAAATAGTGGCACCATTTTACATTCCTACCAGCAGTGTGTAAG